ATCTTATCTGAGCTCAGCCTGAGTGCTGTGCTGACCTGAGTGCGCACACACAGCAAGTGTGCAGAAAAACTGTATTGCTGAAAACAGGTATGTCGAACCCATACCTGGGCTATGCAGTTCTGGCACCAGCTGTATACAGACCATCCTCTACTTGTCCAAAGTTTTACCGCATCTTTGATACTGGGAAATTTGAAATTCCAGAATGATCTTAGCCAGCTTCTGCTAAGGGGTGTATTTGTTGAAGGAATAACCTCTCTGTAGGAAAAACAAAACCAAGTAAAGTAAAAACTCCTGAGTTGGAATAACAGCCTCTAATTAAACAACAAGCTAGTTTTATAGGATAAGTCAGGAATGGAGACTACCTAAAGCCAAATTCTTCAGTAAATTGTAGAATTCTGGGATTCACTTATGCAGCAAATATAGCATGTCCCCCCCCAAAATGTGTATACATTTTGAATAATTATAAAGGCAGTGTTTGTACTTCAACTGTGTTTTCAAACTTCCAGTAGCATTTTGGGATGAATTTCCTTTGTTCAAAACAGTCTGGCTGAAAAGAAAGAAAGATCAATGGAACTATGAGCTGTTAAAGTGTGTATACACATTTTTGGGATACCCTGTATTTGTTGAGTAAATAAACAGTAACCAGTAAAATAGTATAAAAATAGGCATCAGGGATTCCGTAATGAACAAAACAGGCAAAAACCCTAACTCTCAATGGAGTTTATTATAGTCTCATGGAAGAAAGGTAAAAATAAGTAAATAAAAAACATATGTGGGTTGTCAGCATGTGAGTGCTAAGGAGAAAAAGGTGAAACAAGAGAGGGGACTGTGAAGTGTTGGGTAGAGGTGAAATTTTAGATAGGGTAGCCAGGGAAAGTCACTGAGAAGGGGACTCTTGAAGGGAAGCAAAAAAAAAAAACCCTAAAGGAAATAAAGAAGCTAACAATGCACATATCTGGGAAAAGAGGATTCAAGCAGGGGCAACAGTAAGTGCAAAGGCCCTGAGGTGGAAGCTTATTGAGGTGTCTGAGGACTAGCAAGGAGGCCAGGACAACTTGGGTAGAGAAACAGAAGGAAAGGGAATTAGGAAACAATGTCAGAGCCCAGCCGGTGTGGCTCAGCAGTTGAGCATCGACCTAGGATCCAGGAGATCGCGGTTCAATTCCCGGTCAGGGCACATGCCTGGGGTGGGGGCTCAATCCCCAGTTCGGGGCGTGCAGGAGGCACCTGATCAATGACTCTCTCATCATTGATGTTTCTCTCTCTCTCTCTCCCTCTCCCTTCCTCTCTCTGAAATCAATAAAGATATATTTTTTTAAAAAAAAGAAAGAAAGAATGTCAGAGTCAGATCATAAAGGCCTTGGAGGTCATACTGTGGACTTTAATTTTTACTCTGAGAGAGGAAAACATTGAAGAGCTTTAAGTAGAGAAGCAACATGACATGATTTTAACAGGCTCACCGCAGAGGGGGCAAGGGCAGAAGCAGAAAGGCCAGTTAGGGGGCTTTCTCAATATTCGGGAGAGATGGAAAAGAGCATGATATCATGGTTACTGCTTTTTGAGGGCCTGTTTTTCTTATTTTTTTCTGTAAAGAGAGCTGTAACAACAAAATGTATAGAATATGTTATTGTGACACTTAGTGCCCTTGGGTTGCTGGAACTTAGTCTCTTTCAATAACACATTTAAGCCCTGAGTCACAGAGAATAAATGACCAAACTTTACCAAAACTAAGATTTAAATTCTACTCTTATACCTCTCTTTCACTGCTTGGTTATCATATTTATGCAATTAAATTAAGTAGGAAAAGAGAAAATAGTTACTGTGCACCTCCAACACAATTCCTTGTGATCATTACTTCATTTGAACTCTTAGACTATGGTTGCCATACAAAACTCAAGGACGCTCAGTTAAAATTCAATTTCTGATAAATAATAAGTTTTCGTATAAGGATATTAGAAATGTTGCATGGGACAATACAAAAAAAAATTTCATTGTTTATCTGAAATTCAAATTTAACTGGGCATTCTGTATCTTCATTTGCTAAATCTAGTAACTTTATCCTAAACTGACAGGATTTTTAATATTTTTCTCTGTTCCACATCATGCCTTACCTTTCTACTAAGGGTGGCGGAGAGGGAGGTGTAATAAGCTTGGACTGAAAGTGAGAGGTTTCTTTTTTTTTTAATAATCGTTTTGCCTTTGCTTTTCGCTTCCTTCTTTGTTGTCTGAACTTGAGCATGATTTCTGTAAAAAATTTTCAAAAATTGATTTCAGAGAGAGAGAAAAAAGGAGAAGGGAGGAAAAGAGAGAGAAACAGAGACAGAGAGTCACACACACACAGAGAAACATTGATTTGTTGTTCCACTTATTTATGCATTCATTGGTTGATTCTTGTTTGTGCTCTGACCAGTGACTGAACCCAAAACCTTGGCATATCAGGACAACCCTCTAACGAGCTGAGCTACCCGGCCAGGGCATAGAGTTAGTTTTTTAAGGTAAAAATATAAACCCGATATTCCTTTGCTCAAATGTATTTGAAGGTTCCTTATCACTCACTGGATAAAACAAATTCCTTAGTGTACCTTTCTCAATTTAGCTCTAATGGCCCTTTGCAGCCTCATCTCTTCTAGTGATTAGCAGTTTGTACTTCAAGTATACCAACCACCAAATACTTTCTATAGTGTTATCAGCTTTTCTCCCTGCTTGGGGTATATTCCTCCAGGTCAGCTTATGCAGCCTTCAAAACTCTGTTACTTTGTCTCACAGATACTTCTTGAAATATGTACCATGGTAGGTGCTGGGATACAATTCTGAACAAGATGGACATAGTCTCTGTTCTTAAGGAATTTACATGGTTGAAATGTCATCTTTCGGATTTCTATAGCACTTTGTGTTAGGTGCCTATTGATTTGGCTCCATCTCCTGGCAACCCTATGAATGAGTGATATCCACAATATCCTATCAACAGCCCTGATCAGCTCCTGTAAACTCATGCCTATGACTTCTTTTATGGAGTCAATCCAATTCATATTTGGAATTCCTCTCTTCCTGCTGCCTATTTTTCCCAGCTTTATTGTCTTTTCCAAAGAACCCTACATTCTCATGATGTGTCCCAAATAGGACCACTTCAGTTTTATTATTTTTGCCTCCAGTGATGCTTCAGGCTAAATTTGCTCTAGGACCCTTATTTTTGTTTGCATGTTTGTCACTCCCAAGGGTAGGATGAATTTTATTCATCTTTGTTTTCCCAGGACCTAGAGTATAGCAGACACTAAATAATGTTTCATTCAATAAATGACGGAAAGAAACCGTTCCCGCTAAGTGTTAGCTAGCAAGCGTTCTCTCTTTTAGTTAAGGAATATGCTTTAATACAAAATTCTGGAAAAATCTCCTGATGAGAGAGGTTTTCAGTTCTTCAAATCATACCACACGCTCATATGGATAAAAGATGGGCCCAAAACGATTTCCAGTAAGAAGATGCAATAAATAAAAGAGTAAGAATTGCAATCATCTGCAGGATTTGGCACTGCTACTAAACTCCACCTTGTGATATGAAAAGTGCTTTTGGTCAAGGGCACTTCCAAAACTGTGGCATTAACAGAAATGACAACTTAATTGCATTACTATCTTCCTAAAACACATTTTAATGGAGGTTTCTTACACTTTGCCATAAACAGCTTTCAGTCAATTAATCAATTTCCATTACCAACCAGTTCAATGGATTCCTCTTGAATATCCATAGGGCTATTTCTGGTACTTGCATATATTTAATTTTACATTTTATGCTGTACAGCATTGCTTTTTAAGTTCCTGGCTCTTTTTTCTTTAACCCTGAAGAAATTGCGGCTCCTTAAACCCTGCCCAGCACAGTAGTAGGTACATAGTAAACAGGGCACACTTCTAAAATTGACTCGCTCACAGAACGTCGGACGATAGTAAGATTCTAGCAAGGAACACAGTAATGCTCCCAGTCAAGAAATGGACATTCTCGAACTTGAATGTGCATGAGAAGCACTGTGTGTGCGTGTACGCGAGGAATCTTATTAAAATGCATATTGGTTCAGTAAGTTTGGGTGGAGCCCGGTAATTTGCATTGCTCCCAAGCTCCCAAGTGATGCCGATGCCGTATGTCCGTGGATCGCACTTTTGAGCAGCAAAGTTGTAAAGGACTGTGCAAAAGGAAGGCAGATACTTTCCTCCAAAACATAATTAGCAGAGTGTTAATTAAATAGAAATATGACTAGGTTGGAACCAGGGGACAACTTCTTGCCTGCCTCTGCCCCGCTCCATCTCCCCTCCGAGTCCAGCCAAAGTCCCCACCTCCGTAAGCCCCTAAGAACACAAGCAGCAACACGCTCAGCCACGGCAGACGCGAGTCCGAGCAACAAAGGAAGATATCCCTGCACTTACTAGTCTAAGAGCCCAGGGGTTAGATGAAGTCCAGGCAGCGGCCTCGCCCTCGCCATGAAGAAAAATTCAAAATTAAAACCTTACGTGGAGCGACCAATCGTAGCCACGGCCTCTCCACGATTAGTTCTCCCGGTAACGTAGGAGCACAACCTGGCTTGTGATTGGCTGATACCGCACCACGCTCCGGCCAATCAGAGCTGAGGCGCTTCTTGTATGAATAAGGAGAAGGCGGGAGCGAAGGAGAGGTGAAGCCTGAGAGGAAAGAAGGTGTGTCACTTCCCCTATACTGTATGTGGAAGCCTTTGTGTAATTGGTTGGCTCTTCTTCCGATTGCACCAATCACAATCTTCTCTGCTGAGCCCTAACTATGAAATTGAAAGTAGAGATGAGGGTGCAGCCAATGGAAAAATATAAGTGTACAGCAACCAATCCATCGGCGGCGTTTTGTGTCTTTGCCCAACAGGAAACGGTGTTTCATGAGGGGAGGCGTTGCTTAGTCGCCAATGGGCGGGCGCTGGTGAGCGGAGGAGCCAATGAGTGCAAGACGTTGAGTGACAGCTGTCCAATAGGGACCCTCAGTGCTAGTATGGTTAGCGCCTTAAGCGCCGCGGCGGCCTGAGGAATGTCAACTATTCAACATGGAGGAGGAGGTCGATAAGCTGGAATTGATGGTGAGTGTAAAGTAAAGGAGATCTACTGGGTAGTTTATTTTTCCCCGATGGCCTCCAAAGTGGGACGCAATTCGGAGTCGCCGGAAACCCTGGGCGGCGGAGGCTGGACCAGACCTCAGTTCCCTCCTCCTGCACCAAAGGGAGTCCCTGCCTCTCGGTCTTTTAACCGCCGCAGGGGGAAGGGGTTACATCCGGGAAACTGGTGAGGGAAATGGCGGGAGATGCTGAGGGTGTGGGGCCACTGGAATTTTTTGTTCCTTGCCCTCACCTTTCCGCCCCTCAAGGAGCAGTGGCTGGTGCAGACGTTTGTATTCCCACCAAAAAACCCCCACAAACCGAGACTGGAATGGTCCCAAAACGCCCCCAAAAGGGAAGAGGTCGTTCACACTCCAGAAAAAGGGGATGAAGG